TAAAATACAGAAAAATCTTAGAGCAAAAAGGCATTGTTAGCTTGAGTGTGAAAATAAAATGTAAAATAGTCTCCCAAAACAGGTAATGCATGCAATAAGCCTGCAAGGAATACCTCTCTCTGTTGGATCTGCCTATTTTTGCTTTCTGTGCTTAAAAAAAGTCATTTTTGTGTAAACGGGGTATAATAATTGTATACATCTAACACTTGGAGAAATAAAGTCTAAAGTTATTCTATTTCAAAAGTGATAATAAATCCCCCCAAAAGAGCCAAGAACAGAAGCTGTTCACAATATAAAGGATTTTGCAAGAAAGCTTCAACTATTATATCATTTCTATACCAAAAACATGTGATGGATGGTAGATTTGTAACATGTAGAGCGATGAGAATTTAGAATGCTGTGGAAAGGAAAGAAACATTTGGAGGCCATTTATGGGATTCTTCTGAAAATTCAGTTTCTTTGCATATGAAAAACTTCACTGTACTTTTAATGTGATCTGAATGACCCTTTTGGATTTTGAGAAAGTGTTCATTGCTTCAATGGGAGAGCTGAGGCCTTGAATATGATTAACCAAAGGCCATATTGACTATGTATTTAACTTATCTTCATCTCATTTTAAAAGAGAGCTTTCTTTGTTATAAATGGTTAAACTGATTTTTTTAAACCAGGTCCTGAGAAAGTGCCATATTAATATTTCCATAGGCAAAAGCAACTAAGTTACCTCATCTTACATGTTAGGACACTTTATCCTGCCTATGTTAAACATATTGGGACAAATTCTATCTTCAAGTAGACCTACGCAAGACCATGCATTTAAATGGGGCTGCTCAAGTGGAACCCAGGGTAGAACTTACCTAATTATTTGCATGGTATAATAAAAGGGTTCAGACAGTCAGACTACATGTGTAAAAGTAACACAGTAGTAAAAGTTGGTTGGATCAGGGCCGGTGCTACTATTTAGGCAAACTAGGCAGTTGCCTAGGGCGCCAAGATTTGGGGGTGCCAAAAAGCGGTGCCCCAATTTTTTTTTTTTACAGTGTTCCTACGCCCCTCCCCCGCCCCACTTCTCCCGCCTCCCAAGCTTGCAGCGCCACTCAGCCGTTTGGCGTCGCACCTCC